CGTATGTTTGCGAACAATTATTTTCAACCATGAAATTAATCAAAAATGACCACCGATCAAGACTGAGTGATGCACGATTAGAAAGCTGCGTACGTGTAGCTACCTCATCAATTCCGGCTGATATTGATCAGCTTGTATCGAAAAAACAGTGCCAAATTTCTCATTAAAAATTTCAAGTAAATTCGTTTTTCTGTTCTTTTCTTGTTTGTTTTTATTTTGCATTAAAATTTGTATATGAAATCTTTACTTTTTTTAAATTTTATATTTTTTTATTGTAATGTTTATTATAAATAAAGTTTTGTAAATTATTAATAAGTGTTACTTTATGTGCGGCCCGCCAAAAAATTTTAAAATTTAAATTGGCCCGTTAATTAAAAAGGTTGCTCACCCGATTTAGAGACATTTAAATGCAGTCACAGATGCCTGAAATTGTTAAAGAACTAGGATTTTCTCATATGATAAGGAATGTTCCAGGAATATACAAATGACAGCAAAAAACAAGCATCAGACAAAACTGAAAGGCACCCAGTCTTGAATTATCCTGGGCTCCAACAGTTGGCTCACATTGTATGGTCCCAGACATTATCTCAAATTGCTTTCCATTTGGACGCAGAGTCCAGCCAGACATCAATTTATAGTCTATGTAATGTACATTTCATTATTTCAGTTTCAGGAGTCAGAGATCAATGAGCATGTCACTGCATGGCATTAAGCTCAATACTTTACTAAGCTAAAGAATATTAAAATCAGACTATTGAGACTTTTGATGATTGACAATGATTAAATTAAGATGCATTGCTCCAGACTAAACTTTATTCTGCTGGTAGGATTGACACTGTATCTGCAGTCATCCCCATAAAACCATGATTCTGCATGTCAGGTCAAAACAAGACAAGATGGTTGGCCTTGAAGTGTCTTCACATGGGTATTTTTGGGACATTTGGTATGTACCAATAACTCAATACATCTCTTAACTGAACGACCAACTATTTATGTCCATCCTGCATCCCTGTGAAACTAATATCTATAAACAAGTACTCAATGCACAGGAGCCAATCAGCTAAACAACATAATTTCAGCTGGCTTGGCAAATTCATTGTAGCAATCTAGAAGCCCTGATTTAAATACCATTGAAAATCTTTGAGGATACTGTAATGAACAGCGTTAGGCCTGTAATCCATCACCAGAAAACATGAACAAATTAGAGATAATTGTGGAAGAAGCATGGATCATCATACCTGTGGAACACTTTTGAAAGCTTGGTATGTTATGAGGCATGGACTCAACATCTAGGCCAGAGGGGACCAACACATTACTGTGTAACTCATCCCTAATTCAATGGCACTTCATTGTTATATGGATATATAACAAATTTGATTGATTTAATTTGATGCAAATTTTGAAAAAGCATTCAAATATCTTTATGATTACATTTAAAATACTGTTTAAAATAATCTGTTCCAAAATATTGAAAATATTGATAATTTACATGATCAAAATAGAGAATCAAATGGATTCCCTTAGAAAAAAGTGTTACACATCAAACAAAAGCACCATTGATAGTAAAAATAGTTTTTGAGATTTACTCATAGGAAAAAGAATTGTGTACATTAATTTTATTCAGATGCTACAGAGCATTTAAAAATTTTTGGGATGATTTACTCTAAACACTACTAGTGCAATCTAGTGGTCATTGCTAATATGTACCAGAAGCATTTAGCAATTAAACAGTAAGTTAAAACTATTCTAATTTTATATTAAATACTGTTATGCCCAATACATTGACATTCAAATGAAGCCAATTCAAGTAAATTTATCAAGACAAACAAAACAGGATGTCCATCATTATGGCATAATTAAACAAAGCAATACATGAAGAAGCCAGAATGCCCTTTTGTTCATTAAAGATGTCTCCGTAGGCATTTAGACATACATCCCACTTGGGAAGATGACAGATACTGTTCACAAAGAATGATATTGGTTGGTCCCTGAACCATTCAGTGACTGCTTCCTTAACTTCTGTATTAGTTAAAGCATGTCCTTTAAGAGCATTTTTTAAAGGTCCAATGAAATGAAAACTACATGGTGACAGATCGGGGGCTAGGGTGGTGCAGAATCTCCCAATCTTCTTGTGCTAAAGCATCCTGCACAGCATTCATGTAATTAATTTAATATTTAATTTAATAATTTTTATTTATATATTTATTTATTTAATTTTGATGCACGACAATGCTTGACTGTATGTTGCAGTCAAGCATTGTTGTGCATCAAAATCACATCACATGATAGCAGGCCTGGCCACTTATTCTTTATGCAGCTTGTCCAATGTTGGATTATAGCAGTTGGCATTTATGCTCATGTGATGGTCTTTAAAGTCCACAGCAAAGCCCATGCAATGTCAAAAAAATGCAGTCATAACATTACAGGCAGAGGACTGACTTGAAATTGTGTGTTGGTGAGCCAGGGTATTCCATTGCATGCTCATTTGTCTACTGGATGGCTCAAAGTGGTGGCACCATGTTTCAACCTTGGATGGATTCCAAATAACTCTGTCAAAGTAGTGAAAACATGGCCAAAAACAAAAACTTGTGAAACAACTGAACTTCTTCCCACAGGTTCATTGATGTATGTTTATCGTGCCATATGTGACATCATTTCCCCTTGCACTGGACCACATGACAAGGCATGATTGGGCTTCATTTAATCAATCTTAATATATAATTAATTTGTATCTTTATGCATTATAAGTACTACTGAAATTCCCCATTATAAAAATTTCTAACTACGAAAACATAAATGAAAAATAAATGAATAAAATTTTATTACTATATATTCTGATTTCATCAATTCAAGAAAGTAGTTTTGTAAGTATCAACCCATACAAACAATACAATCTAAAATATCTGATAATGGGAAAAAACTTTAGAAACTTTAGTAATAATCTAGTTATAAAATTTGTATAATTCAATATTGTATATTTTAGTTTTAACAAAAAATTCAATATCAAAATAATTTTTTAACTCAGATGAAAAATAAATATCATCTGAAATCTATAACGCCAGGAATACTTCTGTATTCTTTTTTTTTTTTTGTATATATTTCATAATAAATATTGTAAACTATATTTTCCTATATTAACTCCTATTACATATACATTAACCTATTTGAAAACAATTATACAAACTACAAATTAGTACTTAATAATAATTACTATTAAATAAATTTAATCTCAGTTGTGTAATTAATGTCTATTTAATAGTCTTTTTAAAAATTAATATCGCTTAAACAATAAAGTATTTTTCTTCTATTTTTATAATTAAAATTATAAAAGTAAGATTTTTATTGCTAAAATAATTACTTGAAATGACTATTCAAGAAATTAACAGAAAATACATACAGCTGAAACAGGATCTGAATGAGCTGGCAAAGTTTTCAAGCATTTTCCAGTCTTCACATCCCATATTCTAACACTTTCATCAAACTAAAAATTAAATTAATTTAACATTTATGTAGAAGTTAAAAAAATTTGTTTGTTGTTTCATGATAATTTTAAAAAATTATTCAAATGGAACAGACTAAGACTAACAAATGAATTTGCTTTAAAATGTTTTTGTGAATTACTGCAAAGATGACTTGTTAATTATGATGATTGCTTCTTCTTCCTATTTTAAGTATGTTATAGACGAGAGAAAGAGAAAAAAACCACCTTCATTTAAGGACTTGTTACATCAAGGAAAATGAATGCACAAAAACTAGAGGATGATAATCATTTTTCAGGTATTTATTGTAATAAATCTTAAGTTTTTCAGGATTTCAGACTACTAACATATAGATTTGTTACAATAAATATCTGAAAAACGATTATCATCCTCTAGTTTTTTGTGCATTAATTTTCCTTGATTTAACAAGATCTTAAATGAAGTACTGTTCTTGTGAATGTTTAGAAAACTTAATATTTTTTAAGCTTTTCGCTATTTCATTCAATATCTGACAAATCAGGGTTAAAAATTAAAAATATCTGCTAATTGTCCAGCAGATAAATCAGACTTTTGGTCATTTGGTGTGATAAACCCTTATGTAAGATAACCTTTGTAGTTTGTTATATTGTAGTGTTTGATTTATATAACATTAAAACAAAAACCATATAGAGAGTTTGGTTATTTGAGCCTACCATTGCCACATTTATCACAATACTCAGATGGTAAAAAATGGCCCAGTTCAAGTAGAAAGGAGTTTAAAACTTATTTTAAATTTTTCAGATAAAGTTAACATTAAAAAATATTATAAGAAACTGTACTATTTGCAGCTGAATATCAAACAGTAATCTGTCAACATATCAAATTTCAATAAAGGAAAAAATAAGGTCCGAATATTTAAACTCAGCACCCATGAAAAACCACTTAAAATCATATTTTGTGCAGGCTGATAACCTTGTATTATGCAATTTTCATATTTGGCAACACATTGTATTAACTATGTGAGATGTATGTTCTTGTAAATATTATAGAAAAGTTATTGGGCTGAAATTTGAAAGAATTGTAAGTCTATAAATTCTGACTGTCGTCTGTTCTTTCTTAATCTCAATAAAGGGGTTGGACAGATTAAAGTCAATAACAGATGTAGAAAGCTTAGGAGACCAGATTAACTATATAGGAACTTCCGTTCCAAACCGGAAGTTCCTATATAGTTAATCTTTATATACTTTACTTCAATTCAAAATCCCCCCGAATGGCATTAGATAGATGATCAACATGACTATTGCTAACAGGAAAAGTATGACACACAGGGGCAAGACCACCACTAAAAGAATTAAGATCATTGTGACAAAAAGTTGTAACATAATTATGACAACGTCAGAGTAAATAATCGCTTGTTAGAATTAGTTGGATTTATTAGGTTACAGCAACACAACATACAAGCAATCTGCAGAGGGGGATGCATCCAAGAAGACTTATGTAAACATGGCCCCAATTTAAGTGTTACTAATGCAAAGAAAACCCAGAAAACTCCACATGGCCAACCTATTGACCATGCTTAAACCCATAACCAACTACCAGCGTTTGGTGGTTTGATCCACTCTGTTACCAGAGGGTACTTATTGGGTTACAATTTGAAAAAATTGTAGACTTATAAATTCACACTGTCATCCATCCATTCGTCACCATCCTTCCTTAATCTTGAGAATGGAGTTAGATAGATGAAAGTCAAAACTAGATGTAGATGTGGAAATTGTGAGAGAAAGACCAGATTAACTATTATACATAAACTTATACATAAACTTATACTTAAGAAGACTTATACATAAACTTCCGATTTGTACCATAAGTCATGTTATTTCAATTCAAAAATTGTTATCAGACTTTGCAATCCTGTGTAAAGCTACCCTACTATCAGAATAAATGAGATAGTGTAAGTAGTGTCTTTTGTCCTTCATGTGCCTAATGTCAATTAAGCTCATATAAATATACATAAATAGCACACCAGACAACTTTGCAAATACAGTTAATTAGTACAAATAAAATTTTGGTAGCCTGAGACAACTGGAAATTTTAAACAATGCAAATGATTATTTTATCCTAAAAATAATGATTAAGATTTACATTTGAAGCCTGCAAATGATAGATCAGATTGCAAATTAATAATGCTAATAGAGCTATATAAAAAAAAACTGTACGAGTCTTGAAAATATTTATAGATATTTACATATCATTTAGCAAAACAATGTTATTGATAAATATTGATTATTTGATACACTGTCATAAAATTATGAAATAAAAGTAATATAAAAAAACTTATTTTGAGATAATTTTAGTATCTCCAAATCAATCCTGATAGAAAACAAAGAATAACATTTATTATTTTGAAAAATAAAATAAGATAAATTTAGTTACAAAATTTACAAAATAATGTTTACTTACAGATCCAGACACAATAAGATTTGATTGAGGATTGAAGTTACAACAAAATACATAATTGCTATGACCTTTCAGTGTTTTCAAACATCTTGCCTATAAAAATAATAATTCACACTGTAGTTTATTAATTATATTATTTTTAACAAAGTTCTAAAAAAATGCACTTACTGAACTGACTTCCCATATTTTTAAAGTTTTGTCATCTGAAGCACTGACCAACAACCTGCTATCACTTGACCATGCAACATCAGATATACCCTATAAAATAAATTAACATTCAGATAAAATTATTTAAAATGATAAAACCAAACTTAAAAATTAATCTTTCAGTAATAATTTAAGAAAAATCTTTTTAATGTTAGCAATAAAAAAAATTTTCAATTATTTCCATACATCTAAAAACATATTTTTACAGATCAACTTTCTTAATCTTAAACTACCTGTTCATGATCACAACCCTCATTTTTATATAGTTTTGGTTTAACAGTGAAAAAAAGCACGCGCATACTTTATTTTACATGACAGTGTTAAACTGAAGCATTATTTTAAAATCTTCAGTATTTTAATTTTATCAATGAATACTTAATAGTTAACATAGCCTAATCATTATGGCATTTTAATCACGTCATTGTTACTTTCAACTGAGAAAAGATTCTCCATTTTATATTACATTACTTTTTTATGATTACAGTAAAGTCAAAAATATACACTGAGTGTGGCATTAACAGTTTATTTTCACTAGCACTTTCAATAAATTTATGTTCATCTTCAGATGAATGAAATTAAAAATAGAAATTGTGTTTTATTTTTAAATTCCATTTGCGTTATGATGATGATAAGTTTGTTGAAAGCGCTAGTAAAAACAAACTGTCACGCCACACTCAGTGTATATTTTCTTTGTTTTTGTATGATATTTGGCACAAGGTTCAAGTTGTATCATGTTCACCGTAACCATTGAACTTACCTGTTAAATTAAATAGACAGTCTTGTCTCAATAAAATTTATCAATCAACATCCTGTGGTAAAAAATCTGATCTAAGAAGTTAATGAAGTAATGTAAAATTTTAACTAAAGAAAAAAGTTTAATAAAAAGAAATGAACCAAGGAAGTTCTCATGCTATTCATCTCAATGTAACTGAAAATTAAAATTGAAATCCATATAAATATTAAAACACAATCTACCATGTAAGTCAAAAGGTGTGTATTTTATAATATGAAGTTTTTATAGTAGTACAGTAGAACGTCGTTTATCCGAAAGAATTCCAGTCATCAAATTTAAATTTTCACTAGTGCTGTGGTGCTGTAATCTTTGGCTATATCTTGGACTACTCCAATATTATTTTTGATGATGTGTGTGTTTTAGCTGGCAGCACTGGCACTTTTGTGTGGTGTTTCTCTGAGGACTGTGTGTAATGCTGAATCGAACGTTTTTGATACTAGATTAACTTCTAAAGTATAATTTTTTTGTTTTTATATTTTTCAATATATCTATTTTGTTTGTAAAAAATAAAGAAATAATTTTTAATGATACAATAGCCACGATTATTATTTTAAAAAGTTTACATTAGGCTTAACATCGACGAAAATTGCACGCAAAGCGACACGCAACGGAGAAAAATTTCAACATGGGATAGGTTAATATATTTTTTTGTACAAAATCGGGTATCCGAAAAATAAGTTATCCGAACAACCTCAGTCCCCAATTGATTCAGATAAACGATGCTCTACTGTATTGCAGATATAAAAATATTGTTTCAACATACAGTAATACCTTGACTTACGCTACCCCGACTTACACGATTTGCAAATCTCATCGATTAGTCTTGTTTGAGCGCCACGCAACTCTTGATTACTTACTCTCGCCACACTATTGTTCAGCTTACATGTTCGGATGTGTCGCGCGGAATCGACACATAGTTACAATTTATTTTGTGTTATTTATTTCCGTGTTTGCTATATCTACAGAGACTTGAGAGACTATGTAGTAATTTCTTGTAACCATGAACGAATCAAAAGACGAGATAAGATTAATGAGAACATTTATTAGCTTACATACATCTGACTTGGATTTTACACAAATTGCAAAATTATACCCCGACTTACGCGAATTCGACTTAGGTGGTTATCACTCGGTCCCACCTATCGTGTAAGTTCAGGGTATCACTGTATTAATAAATACGATCACTCTTTTTTGTTTCTATAATTGCTTAATTCAAAAAATTACTACTACTTCCTTACACGTGTAATTTTGAAATGGATGAATCTATTAATAATTATCTAAATATTTTTTAATTCTCTCTGTGCATTCACTTGTTTATGCTCAATTGTGAATATGTAGAGAGGATATATAACAAGAAATACTACTTTAACCCTAAACTGATTCTAAGATGTTCGATGTATTAATTTATATTTGAATTTTCAAAAATATGTATCATAGTTTTTGCTTTGTAAGATGCACTTTTTTGTAAGCAAAATTTATAGGGCCCATCCTAATTTTCAGATAAGTCAAATGCATCTTATACCGTAAAGAATTGTTTTTTGGGAGGGGGAAAAAATCAATGTAAAAAATGTGATGAATACAATACAATGGCGCATCTTATAAGTTGAAAAATAAGTGGTCTAACTGCCATATATACTGCATTTTTTAAGTTGATTTTTATTTGTTTTAAGGATAGTCAGAATAGATCTTATTTAAAATTGCTTATCCAAATGACAAATGTAAAAGCAATATATTTGCTGCCTATTTCAAGAATATGAAAAGATTTTGTTGTAATGTTAATAATCAACTATATAATAATTAGCAGATTTGTGTACCCTGGATTAGCCAATTCTTTTGTTTTGCTGCACTTGAAATATATAAATAAAATATAAACTTATTATTATTCTGAGACTCAGGTACAACACTCCGTATGGTACAATTTTAGAAAATATTGTTGATATAATTATAAATGAAAATCAGAGTAACAGTTAATAAATCATTTTTTAAAAAAATGGCAATTTTGTAATTGTCTAACTCACAATTTCTATGATTTCTGTAAATAAAAAGATCCAAAATAGTTAAATTACATTGCCTTGCAAATTTAAAGGTAAGTTTATAAATTTCCTAGGATTTCTTAAGTGAATGGTTCCAGACCATAAAATGCATTTCCACTATAATATTTATCATTTCCAAATTAAATTTTTTTATGTAAATGATTCTTCCATGTACAGTTAACTGCTTTGTGATGACTCCCACACACAAGCTGTAATAGACAAATACTTATTCTGTGCATTGCAGAAGGATTTCACACACTTTCAAAGAAATGAGTTTCAAATGAAACATCTTTTACATGACAGTTTAATGCAGACAGCACTCAGTAGACTCAAAGCAGAACATTCACAAGCACTAGCAGTAAATTCGCTCAATGTTAGCTCATCCATAGTTCATATGCTTTACAAGTCTCTGGGAAGTGATGCTAATGTTTCCAAACCTACAAGGAATCATCCCAAGCTACAACAGCAGATAAAGACTAATATCTGTGCCTAACCACTCTACAACAATTCCATATTACATTCCCTCAATCATGTGCAGAAGACTTCATGAAATGTCCTTTACAGCCTAGCAAACCTGTACAATGAATATCCTTCTCAACACAGGAGTTTAATCATAAACTGGTCAAGAGAACAAGTTAACTGAACTGAAGATCAATGATGCACTGTATTCTACAGACAAGTCCAAATTTACTCTGAGACATGACATTAGATGTACAGTGATTTGGATAGTAGTGGTATTTAGTACAAGGTGTCATCTTTCAAACATAAGGTTGGGATTGACTCTTGCAGTGAAGGCAAAACTATGGTATGGACAGAAGTATCCTCAAGCAGTCATACTGATCTCTATGTGGTTTCAGCAGGTTTTATAACATCTTGGAAATACAGAGATAAGATCTTCATAGTCCAATTGTCAGATCACATGCCTATATAGTATGCAAAAGTTTCATTTTATAGGACAAGACAACTCCATAGAGCAGTGGTTCTCAACCTGTGGGTCGCGACCCCTTTGGGGTCGGATGATCCTTTCACAGGGGTCGCCTAAGACCATCCAAAAACACATATTTCCAGTAGTCTTAGGAACCAAGACACCGCTCCTTGAATTTTGATCTGGATTTCAACGTTTGGTACTAAATAAGTCACCAAAAGTCATCGGAACTCACTGTATGATTCATTGGCAAATATTAGCAATGAGACGCTGCCACAAGAGTTATAAGAAGTAATGAAAAGCGTCATAAGTTCTGTTAATTTTGTAAAGGCGAGCACTTTAAACAGTCAACTGCTTTCGCAATTGTGCAATGAGTTGGATCCACTGAACAATGCTCTGCTATTTTGCACTGAAGTGAGATGGTTGTCGAGAAAAAAATTTAAAAACGTGTTTTTGACCTTTGTGATGAACTCAAAACATTTTTTAATCAGAAAGCAAGACTGCAGTTTGAAGCACTTTTCAGCAATAAAAATAAACTGCAAAAAATAGCTTACTAGCATAGTGAGGGGGCAAGGGGTTATATCATGCCCCGGGCACCACTCTCAGAGGGCGCCAAATGGTCTCCAATACAAACAAGATTTGTTTCTGGAGAGGTGAGGGGGCATCAATAAAGTGTTGTGGCCGAAGCACCATTTATGTTCACTACACCACTGAAATAGCTTAGTTGGTTGCAGTGGCGTAGTGTGGGTGTCAGCAGCCCGGGGCAGAGGAAAATTTTGCCACCCCCTTATTTAGGTATCTCAATTTAAAAGACTAAAATTCAGTTTCATCACAGAATAAGTAATGAAAAATTCCGTGCTCATTTCAATCGGTCCGAATCGTAGGTGCGATGAAAATATGAAATAAAATGGTTCAAATTTTTACAAGATATTATTATTTATTGTGAAATTTTGTTGCCCCTGCTGCCCCCACTACACTATGCCACTGCTTGGTTGACATCTTTGCCATCTTGAATGAGTTAAATTTATCACTGCAAAAACCAAATGCAAAATATCTCAATCTGTCTGAAAAGATCCGATCATTCCAAACGAAACTTCAGCTTTGGCAAAAAAAATTGAATGAAAATAAAATTTACATGTTACCTACCTTATCTGCTTTCTTTGAGGAACATGGCATTGAACCAGACAAAAGGATTACGATGATAATTTCTGTGAGAGAACACTTGTACATGCTTACAGATGAAATTTCATCGTAATTTCCAAATCTTCCTGACACCTCATTTGCACTTGCCAGAAGCCCA